ATAATTCTAAATAACAATTTATATATATATATATATATATATATTTTTGCAAAGCATATATTATTTAAAATTTGATTTTTTTCATTGTTGTGATAAAAAACTATTTATTAAATATTTAAATTTAATTTTTTTTTTTATATTTAGGAGGCAAATTGATTTTTAAGATATAGTTTAAGGGATAAAATGAAATTCCAAATAAATTTTAGTGCAACGTCAACACATTCCGTCTAATTGTAGACAAAATGTGACGACATGGGACAAATTGATCAAAATTTTAAAAGTTTAAATGTAAAATTGATATTTATCGAAATCTAAGAGTCAAATTGACAAACGCGTAAAGATTTAAGGGACAAAATGATATTTTCTCTTCTTTTTTTTTATTTTATTTTTAGAATAGACTAAAAGAGATCTTTTTTTTCTTCACCTCCTACTAATTTTTTACGATTTTGTGGTTTTTTTTTGGTTTTTTTTTTTTTCATTAGTATTTTAATTTCTATGAAGTCTCCACTGAATTGCAAATTCTTACCCCGTTTCCACCACTTTTCAATTTGCACCAGACAAGCACCGAGTCGAGGTGGAGCCATGTTTTTCACTTTTTCCCTCTTGGTAGATTTTTCCACTTGTTCAAACAAAGGAACATTATTATTGTGTTTTGCAACAAAGCAAAACCCACTTGTAAAGTGTGCTGTCGTTTGTTACTAATGGATGGCCCTGGTATTTATTTTAGAATATGCTTATTTTTATTTACAACTCATCCTTAAATTGTCTCAAGGTAGTTGTGTCATTTTCTTCACCGTCATCACCATATAAAAACACATTTTTAATGTCAAACATTTGAATACAATGACTTTGGTATCGTTTGCCATGTGCAAGTGCATCCCCCCATCAACATCCAACAGACTTTCTCACTCTTCATCTTTGAAAATGCATTTTATATCATATAGTGGGAAAAGAATTAAATTTCCTACACAATCCAAGAATTATAAGAATGAATAATGACCTACATGCCTTACAACAAGATATATTAACATATGGACTATCTATAATCCTATCATCTGCCATTTGATCTTCCCAAGCTATCCTCAACCACATGATCAGTTGATGGAAGCCCAAAATATCGCTACTACTACAGTGGAACCAATTGCACCCAATCTCTGCCCCATTGTTGTCGTCGTCACCAAAGCCCATTTATATTGACAAAATGCGGAGCTCCTAAAGACTAAAAATGTCACCCACACGTGTGCAGGATGGGATGTATGCATGTATGAATATTTCATATATGATTTAAGTGATAAAAATGTTTTTGGGCCTACAATTAGGATTTTCATCGGACGGACGGACGGACTAAATTGGGTGTTTTTTTTTTTTTCAATTGGACGGCTAGAATGGCTTCGGCATGAACATGAACATGTCCTGCAATGGGGAGAGCTGGTCCTGTCACGTTGTTCTGCATCATGAGGTTGACCATTGTCTATAGATCTGTCAACATATTTGCCATGTTTTTCAGTTTTCTCGTTTTTTCTCCGGCATCTGTCCCTTCATACTTGAAGGTCCCTTTCACAGTAGTACTCATTTCGGCTACTCTTCTTGTTCCCTTCCAGGCCTTTGGCGACATTATTCGCCTCAGGATTCACTGTTTGCACTTTTCCGTTATGGTCCCCTCTTTCAGTGTTAGGATCCACATGCTTATCATCCTTACTGTGGATGTTGTTTCCAATACTTACTTCCTGTCTGTTGTTGGCCATCTATCCTTACTAAGTTCCCACAGACGGCACCAAATTGTGGGTGTTGATTTCTGACTACACAACCAAAGAAGAGAAGAGATGGTCAGGTTGGAAGGTTATCCAAGCTTAGCCCAAGTTGTACTGAGTAGGGGTGAGCAGCGGATATACCGATCCTTCAAAACTGACTGAACCGAACCGATCTGCCGCATTTTGGACGGATGCGTAATGACGAGTGGACGATTGCGGATTGATTTTTTCCAATTCACCAATCTGGTAGACAGATGACGGATTTGAGATTCCTTTGGCCACAACCGAACCACCAAACCGGGAGCACCCCTAGTAATTTTTAAGACTTTGTGTTTTCAGTTTATTTAAATATTTTGTTTGTATTTTCAATTAAAAAAGAGTTTAAATATTCTGTTGAAAAAAAGTTTTCAACTTGAATATATTTTTTGGTTTTTAAATCTATCTCTAAAAATAATAAATAGAAAATATGATATATGCTGGTTGGTTTTTTTGTTTCAAAAACAAATTAGATGTAACAATACAGAGACATGCAATCTCTACTACTGCTCTGTTCATGGTTTTGGTGGTTTGAATTGTTTTTATATTTTAACAAACCACATATTGTAATACTTTATTTGGATGAGGCATGCTGTGATTGTAGTATGTGCATGAGGTATGCAATGATTGTAATATTCTAAAGTTTCAAACTTTCTTACTTTGGATAAGGCATGCAATGATTGTAATATTTTTTTAAGTCATTGACTGTAATACTTTCTTTTCTTTTTCTTTTTCTTTTTTTTTTTGAGGAAGTGCACAAGTTGAATTATGTTGAAAATTTATAAAATTTTAAACCGCCAAACTGATTCGCATCCATCCGCCAAACCGCAATCCGCTCAATCCATATCCGCCGGATTGACAGACGGATGCGGATTGATTTTCTTCAATCCGCCAATCTAGAGGACAAATGGCAGATTGAAAGTTCCGTGGCTGCAACTAACCTGCGCCCACCCCTACTGCTGAGACTTGCCCAGGTCCACCAAGGCACGAATTGTAACCTGAGATTGCCTGTCCAAACCTAGCTCGAGTTAAACCCGAATTGCCTGAATTGTAAATGAATTTCAGTTTTTTTTTTTTTTCGCAGCTACATTATTAAATTATTAAAATTTGACTCTATTTACATTTTTTTATTTATAAAAAATTATTAATACCATCAAAACAAATAATTTATATAATAATAGAGAGATGCACCATAGTAGTCATTACAATTTATGAGTAAAAAAAAAAGTAAGATTTTATATTATTTGTATATATAATAATTATATTTCAATATGATTTATAATCTAAATTACTTTAATATCATGTAATGACTAATAATTTATGTGTATTTAATATTTTTATATATCTATATATATATAATTCGGGTTTCAGGTTACTCGGGTTGTTTGATAATTTTTTCCAAGCCTGCCCAAATTTAATTCGGGCTTTAGAATTTTTTGCCCAAACCCATACCAAATTTAAAAATATCTTGTCCAAGTTCTAAAAAAACTCGGGCTGAGCTCTAGTTGAGCCACCCAAGTTGCACCGCTACCAAGTACCTACCAATGTATGGTATTTCTACATATGTATCGAGTACAAAAAACACGTACTCAAATTTTTTCTTTTTAATTTTTGGCATAGCTAAACATATCTAGTATATACCTAAAATGTGTCGTATCTTAGTTGAAACAATATTTTCTTCTACTACAAGGATAAAATTCATTTTATTAAACTTGTTTTTCATTTTTAGTATTGTGCTTAGCATGGCTTTAAAATTAAATTATGGTTTGTAAGTTATTTAATATAATAATATTTAATTTTAGTTTATCTTATACATGTACTTTTGGGATTAAATGGGATTAAATGTTAATTGTATGTCGGATTTAACAAATTAAACCATTTAACCAATTTTTGTATTATTTCAAATCAAAAACAAATATTTTTTTACAAACGTATTAAGCCATACTCATACCTTTTCTTCTTCTTTTTTTTAAAGATTTTACCGTGTCGACATACCCATATCGTACCAATACTAATACTCGTACCCGTCCCTATACTTCATAGGTCTCAAATTATCTTGATTCAATTATGGAGAAACTTATTAAACCAAAAATTTCTTGGCTACTCTATGTGTATGCACACGTAATTCTAACTAGTTTATTATCCAAATTAATTTGAATAGAATTGATCAACTAATAGTAATTTCAAAATTGAGTGGGAAAAAAATTTCAAAATTCGGTAAATATCCGGTATGAGTATGACATGTTTATTGAAGTACCTATGCTTCATAGTCTCAAGATAATTCTAAATAACAATTTATATATATATTATATATATATATATATTTTTGCAAGCATATATTATTTAAAATTTGATTTTTTCATTGTTGTGATAAAAAACTATTTATTAAATATTTAAATTTAATTTTTTTTTTTATATTTAGGAGGCAAATTGATTTTTAAGATATATTTAAGGGATAAAATGAAATTCCAAAATAATTTTAGTGCAACGTCAACACATTCCGTCTAATTGTAGACAAAATGTGACGACATGGGACAAATTGATCAAAATTTTAAAAGTTTAAATGTAAAATTGATATTTATCGAAATCTAAGAGTCAAATTGACAAACGCGTAAAGATTTAAGGGACAAAATGATATTTTCTCTTCTTTTTTTTTTATTTTATTTTTAGAATAGACTAAAAGAGATCTTTTTTTTCTTCACCTCCTACTAATTTTTTACGATTTTGTGGTTTTTTTTTTGTTTTTTTTTTTTCATTAGTATTTTAATTTCTATGAAGTCTCCACTGAATTGCAAATTCTTACCCCGTTTCCACCACTTTTCAATTTGCACCAGACAAGCACCGAGTCGAGGTGGAGCCATGTTTTTCACTTTTTCCCTCTTGGTAGATTTTTCCACTTGTTCAAACAAAGGAACATTATTATTGTGTTTTGCAACAAAGCAAAACCCACTTGTAAAGTGTGCTGTCGTTTGTTACTAATGGATGGCCCTGGTATTTATTTTAGAATATGCTTATTTTTATTTACAACTCATCCTTAAATTGATCT